AGTAGGCTTTAACTACTAAGCTGCAGTTCATGTGTGAACACAGAAAGGTCCAGGAGTACACGTGTGCACACATGCATGCACACACACACACACACACACACACACACAAATGTACAGGGATATTTTCATGGTTGGATCTTAGATTCATTCAATCAACAAATCTATCTAATCAACAAATACTTACTGAATATCTACTATGTAGCAGGTCCTTTTCTATATTTGGAGGACCATGGCCGGCAGGAGCCCTACACATCTGGAATAGCAAATAAACGCTACTCACTGTGGCACAAAAAGTAGTATTTTATGGGCTTTGTCAGCACTCCATTGGGGGGATCCACACTGTTCCACGTGTCTAAGATATGATTAGATTTCCGATGTAGAGTTTCCAGCATAGTGAGGCTGCAGAGGCCAGGACCCTGTGAAGTCAGGGATGTTAGCAGCAACGCAGAGAAAGAACTGGTGGAAAATTGAGGAGGAAGCCCCGCCCAAGAGCTGTCACTCACTGGATCCGTGAGCGTGACTGACAGCTGTCTGGGCCTTCACGTACTCCTCTATGAAAGAAGGAGGTCACGCTTCATGACCTCCAGGGCTCAGCACTAGATCAGAGCTCCTAGGTGGAGCCACAGAAGACCTACGATCAGCCTCAAGTATACCATGCCACAGCCACGTCCAACCTCACAGTGGCGTCAGCACAGAACCAGGGAATGACAAACGATACTTCAGGATTAATGTGGCCAAATTTCCAGAGTTAGTCATCACTCTGAGATGCATCCAAGGAACATTCCAGACTTGTGCTGGCTTCTAGCCTCTAGGCAGTGGGGATACCTGTGTCTGGAGAGCTCTGGGAGAATAATCTTGCTGGTCCCGGTGAGGGAGACAGGAGCTGTCTTATGAACCTCATGAGGTCAGGGCAGGATGCTGAAGAAGCCCTCTGCAGTCAGCAAAAGGGCCGTTAGCTGCAGGAAGGACAGCACTGCCCCTCTTCTCCCAGGAAGGACCCTTGGGCTCCTGGCCAGTGCTGGCTCCAGCTGGACCTCGGGAAATATCAGGTGGTATTTATCACTGTTAAGAATAACTGGCACATGACCGAGAGCATAGAACTGAAACTCGAGTGACCAAGGCACCATGTGAGGTTACTTAATGTGGCCATCTGACATTTAAGGACACTCTCAAGTGTCTGTAAAAGAGAAGGAACAAGTTTGGGGAGGAAAGGAGGTACCAGAAAGAGACACACCTATGTAGGTACAACAAGATTTTGGCATACACTGCTATGTCCCCTGCCCTGTCTCTTGGTCTTTTCTCTCAGCAAAACACTGTCCAAATGTTTTCGGTTTCAGGCATTCACCATCCTTGACTCCAGTTGTATAAAACATAAGCTCTTCCCTACAAGTGTTTTTTGAATTATTTTTAACCTCTTCTTAACCTGACATTTCCACATTTACCTTCCCCACCAGGTGACTCAGTGCTCTGAACACTTTTTTTTTATGGTGGCACTGGGGACTGAATCCAGGGCCTTCACACTGAGCCACAGCCCTACTATATTTACTTTGAGACAGATTCTTGCTAAGTTATTAAGTTGCTCATCCTAGGCTCAAATTTGTGATCCTCCTCGCTCAGCCTCCAGAGATCTGGGATTATACCATACTTGGCTCTGGACTTATAATTAAAGAGCTGTACCTGGATTTATTTTTACCTGTTTCCTTCCTCATTTCTTACAATGGGTTTCCTTATAGATTAAGGTTACAAGTACTAAGATATAGTGTCCAAGAATAAGAGAGAAGCCCAAATCCACACAATGACTAATTTGAATTGCAAAACCAACTCTAATAATCCCCAATCAAAGTGTTCCTGCCCTTGAAGCTGCACTAAGAAAGAATGAAGCTTCAGCTTTAGTAGGGTTCCAATATTTTTCGAACTGTGAATAAAGATGATTTTTATTACAGACAGATGAGTGATAAAGAAGATCTGTGTAAGATAAAACAGACCCCTTGTCTCCCAGCTTTAAGGCTAACCTAAGATTTAGAAATGAGTTCAAACTTGAGTTTGACATAATCTTACTTCCTTTGGTAAATTGGGAATTTTATTTCCTACACAAAGCATGGAGAACCAGGAATACAGAGTAACAATTGGCAAAACTAGAAAGAAGACAAGGCTGGATGGCAGCGCTTGGTCACTTGTCCCTGTGCAGTTACTGAGGGCACCTTCCATGGTGGTGCAGAACCCAAGCCAACACACTGCTTTGGTCAGAACTCACCTGTTCCGTGCCCTGTGGAGACAGCGCATATTTCAAAATAGCTGTTTACTAGGGACATTGGGACTGAATCAGAGATGCTTAGAGACATTCTACTCTAGGAAAATCAAAGGGATGTCCCTCAAATACAATTTCAGGCAGCAGGGGAGATATTTGAGACACAGAGACTACTCCAACTACCCCCAGATTTGATCCTCTTATGATAAAAATTCTAACTTGCAATTTAGTTTGCAGACTTCCCTTCCTTTAGTGGACTCTAGTTTGCTCTCTTCACAGTAAACTACCATATTGACCAAGAACATATTAGAAGTGCCATTTATCTTCCAAGTACCTGTGGGTAAACACTCGGAAACAAACAACTTTCTATGGTAGAATCAGCACATGTAGGTGGACAGAACCTGTTTCACAGGGATTTTGCAGCAAGATGAAGTAATTTTTGCAGAGGCTTGTGAATCCCTTGCCAGTTTTCAGCCTAGGACAATTTTATTATCTTTAATTCACCAGCCTAGAAATGGATTTCTAAGGGAAATTCTTAGTGATGGCTTCTCCGTCAGCAGCCTCAGGAACTGGCACACGTTTACCTCACTGCCCTGGAGTCCACAGTGGACTGTTATGCCCAAGTCCTGGCCTTTGGAAAACTAGACCTGTAACATCTAAAGCCTAACCTGTGTACTCTACCCTGGAGCACTAGGAGGAGAATGAATGAACTTCCCCCAGCCAAGCCAGTGGTCCAGTCCTGAGCCAGAAAGCAGCGGCTGTTAAAAAGAAAGCAGAAGGGAAACCACAGTGCTTCCATTATACTGTTAAACTGCAATCTCCTCTTCCTATAAGGGCTTTCCTGTTTTCCCCGAAGGGCACCATGTAACGGCCACACTGTGAGAGGTGCCAGTTCAGCAGAGTACTTCCTGCAGACCTGGCAGGACCTGGTGCTCGGCAGGTTGTGGCATGCCTGCTGACCCAGAGGTAGGCTGGAAGCGGGGGTGGGGGGGGGTGTCCTGAGTGCTGGGGTGCAGGGCTCTGGGATTCAAGTGCCTCATCTCAGGAATGATGCTGATTTCTGTTTATCAAGGCTACACTACAGTGAGGCATGCCAGGATCCCAGGCCCACAATTTAATGAGTGATTCATTCTCAGTCATGCAGATGGTTCCTTATCTTGGTCCTGGCCCTGCCCACAGCACAGATTACATGTGTGTGTGTGTGTGTGTGTGTGTGTGTGTGTGTGTGTGTGTGTGTGTATGTGTGTGCGCGCGCATGCGCGCACGCAAACACATTTATGGGAGCCTAGAGTACTCAGAGTATAATCCCTTGACCAATAGCAGCAGCAGCAGCACCTGATAACTTGCAGGAAATACTCAGGCTGACTTCAGAACCATTGAGTGAAAAACTCAAAAGAGCAACACGCCCACCAGACTATCCAGCGGCAACCGAAGCTTGAGAAGCTCTGCTAAAGAATAATGCACCCTAAAGCAGACCTGTGAAACACATAAGGTGATCTCTCAAAATGCTTCACACACACACAGAAAGGGGTGGGGTGTGGTGAAGCAAGGTAGGGATCCTTCTGATAAGAAATCAAATTTTTTTTTCCCAGATACCTCCAAGTAAACTAGTAATTAAGTGCTGACAAGTGTTGGAGATAAAGGTAACTACTGAATTAATTCCTTCCTGTTTCTTCCTCTAAATGGACAGCTCAGGGCTGGCGACCCAGTGATACCAGGGGACACAAACCAGCCATTTGAATATTTGAAGACTGAGCTTCTTACCTCTGCAAAATGATACTAATGTCACCTACCCCTGAGAGTCAGACAAGCTAAAATGAAGTCTGGGCAGGTCAAACTGTGGTGACAGTTTGTGCATCCCAGCAAGCACTCTGGGATCTCTTCTTCACCAAGGCGTCAGAATGAAGTGGGGAACTGGTTGAGGAGGGGGCTTAGCAGCTTTCTCTTACAGTGCATCTCTTAAAGAAGGCTGCTTTGCAGCCGACCTGGTCTAAGGCGGTGGTGGTGACACAGTGGGCAGTCTGCCTCATTACAAGCTCATGCATCAGGCCCCTAAGTGGTGGTGACACCAGTGAGAAAGGAAAGCAGTACAGCTGGGTACTAGGAACCAATTTTTTGCTCTATGAAAACGAAGGGTGAGAAGTAAAGTGAATCCCCTACATTTGAATTTTGCCGGTTGAACCCAAATACTGGGGAGCCGTGAAGCAATGACCAGTGAGTGCCCTCAGGCTGCAGCAGCTCAGCCACCTAGGTGGAATTTCCTCCTTTGTCCAGGGCTGGATTTATACAGGAGGGTGAGGATGAGCATGGAACCAGGCAGCAAAACTAGTGTCCTGCACTGAGGGACAGGAGCAAGTCTGAGGACTCAGGTCTTCAGAAGGGGGAAAAGTTCTCTGCCAAGCTGGATAAGCAGTAGTGGCCCACTTTCCACCTTCACACAGGAGTCTAAGGACCAGACGGGCTGACAGCCTGCAGGGGCACCTGGCTGGCAAGTGGCCTTTGTCCCTAGCCTCAGAGAGTACCTGGGAGGCGGAGGCCCTCAAACTCCCACCCATGGGCCAGGTACACAAAGGCTGCCTGAGCTACCCCGAAGCACGGTGGAAGGGTGAAGGCGGACCTGTGCCTCACGCTTTTCCTCCAAGAGGAATGAACTCCCAAGATCACACAGTGAGTGTGCCGGGGGTAAGAGACCAGGGAGAAGGCAACCAAAGAAGAAAGTTCGTCTGGGTCCCTTCTCCACGGGGCCCCTTACCTTCCTCGTTTAAAATCCAGGGCAGAAACTCGAACACCGAGTCGAAGCCACACGTGCCCTCTTCAAAGGGACAGGAGCCAGCGGCCAGGTCAAGGGCACCCGAGAGCTGCAGGGCTGCAAGCGCAAAGCGAGTTTCAGTTCGGAGCATTCACACCCGCACCCCCCACCATCACACTCACACCTGCTAAAAAGCAGGACGCCACCGGAGAAGGGGCCTCACCTCCCGCACTGCGCGACTCCGGGGCGCACCCCGCACCCCAGCCCTGACCGGGAGGAGGCGCCCGCCGTGGCCCAGCCCAGCGCTGCAAGATTCGCACCCGGGGCGGCAGGAACCGGTGGCTAGAGCGCCCCCCGGGGGTCTCCGGGGCCTGGCCTTACCTTGCGCCACCAGCAGGACGCCCCTCAGCAGCATGGTCGCGCCCGAGGGCAGAGGATCGGCCAGGGATGCAGGGTGCCAGCCCGCGGGGACCCGGGGCTCGGGGCGAAAGGGGGCGTGGGAGGAGCGGGCGCTGCGGGCCCGGCACGGAGACGCTCAGCGGCACAGCCGACTCCCCAGCTGCCCAACTTTGCAGAACGGGCGGCGGGGCCAGCGGAGGTGCAGCGCAGCGCGGCCCGGCCACAGCGGGGCTGGCTGGGGCGGAGGCGGCTGCACACTGGGCCGGCCGCTGCCGGGAAGAGCCGAGGTCCGCACACCGCGACTTCAGCGCCTGGAAGCAGACCCCTTGCGGACACTTGGAAGGGGCAGGCCTTCCAGGAGTCCCTCCGCTGGGCTGGGACAGAGCGCCCGCCCCGCCCATCCGTGGTGGGAACCAGCTTGGTTCTGCGGCAGGCCTGTCTGCATCTGGCATGTCAGTCCTGCAGGGCTCGCCCTAATTTTAACTTCTGTCTCCCCAAATTGGAAGAGGGCGGAATTCTCTAAGGAAACTTTAGAACCTATGGAGTGGACAAAGCTGTGTATCTCGGGAGTTTCAGCTTTAATGGCCCAGTACACACACACACACACACACACACACACACACAGGCTGTTTTTAGCCGGTGGAATGTCTTGCATGCCTGGGGCTCAGCATTCCCTCTGTCCAGCGAAATGCGGGCATTCCTCTTTTCCACAGAGCTTTCCTCATTGGTCGATACTAGGCTCCCAAGCGTGGGGGAACAGGTATTTCTGAGCAATGTATTTGCTTTAAGCATTAAGTGGGTCTCCAACAATATTCTCTCCAGCAAGAAAGTTTTGTTTCGCTTACTTAATCTTCCTTATAATTCTGTATAGGAGGTTTTGCAACTATGGCAATGGTTCTCGAACTTCGGGGTGTATCAGAATCCCCTGGAAAGCCTCTTCTCAGAGTTCCTGATCCAGTGGATCTGGGATTGGTATTGTGATGCGGCCCGTCATTCTGCACATTCCTAAACAGTTTGCAGATACTACAGGTCTAGGACCGCATTTTGAGGATCTCCCGTCCTTACAAACTTCTATTCAACCATCAAAGCCCTGCTCTTATGCTTTCACCTGGTTTCCAGAGCCCTGGTTTTCTTTGATTTTTATTTGAAGCTCCTCCTCTGAACACAAACCCATGAGCACTAAGGTGTCTGCAAGCTGTCCTTTAATCTTCTGTACACACACACACACACACACACACACACACACACACCCCGCCTCAGTGATTTCATCCACACTCATAGGGTCGATGGCCCCAGAATGTCTGTTTCTACCCCAGACAACTGAGCCCGCACCTGCCACCTCACCGCCACCTCACCATTTTCATGTGGATGTTTCAGACCTTTCTCATACCTAACAATGTCTAGCACAAAGGTCTCGTTCCCAGCCAAGTTCCTCTGCCATCTCAATTAAAATCATTGTTTTCCTGTGACCTTTAGAAGACTCAGACTCACCCTTGACTTATCCTCCTCCCCCGACCCGGCAACAATACCAGATCCTTCCAGTTCAGGATTAAAGATTCAGTAGGAATTCCACATCCATAACCATGCCCCGACTCATTTGTATTTCCATAGCTGTCACCTAGGGTTCCTAGGCCTCCTGACCATGGTCTCCTGCTTTTTCTTCTTTGGCTATGCCCTCTCCATGCTTACCACAGTAATCCAGCTCCCTCCTTGGCTCAGGAAACAACTTCCCAAATCATTTAGCAAGATCCAGAATCTTTACAATGCCTTGTCAGATCCTAGGAAGTCTTCCAGCAGCTCCTTGTATCTCTGCCTTCAGCTACCCAGCTTATGCCCCTCTGACCACAGGCTCCCCTTGGCTGGTCCTCAGGCATAACCCTGCTGCACTCTCAGCGTCTGCACTGTCTGTTTCTTCGACCTGAAATGCCTTTCTCCAAGAATCACTTGATTTAAGGCCACCTGTGGTTTTTATTCAGGTGTCATCTTGAAGAAGAAAATTTATAGAAAAGTGTCTAGGATCCTTTTTTAAAATTTGAACAAAATTGTATTAATTTTCTTAAGCAATGAATCAGATGAGTCAAAATGTGTTTAGTGTGTATATATTTAGTGTTTATGTTGACATACTTGGCCTCTGGTAGTAGGTAATAAAAATGAACGTTTATTGTGTTTACTATTATAAGTGCTATCATGATTTGTGTCAGTGGCCCCCAAGCCTCATGCAATTATGTACTGTACCAAATCTAGCAGTGGTGATTGGTTCATTGTCTAGCGCTCAGATTGGTAGTATGAGTGCAACATTTGCATAGAGGTGGAGCCAGCATACAATATAATGGCAGGAACAAGGTGTGTCTCTCTCTCTCTCTTGTGGGTTCCTGCCTGCTCTTTGTAGCAGCCATGAATGGCGGCCCTGCCACACTACCCTGCTGCTTGGAGCCAACTGAGTAAGGACTGAAACCTCCAAGAACTGTAAGAAATAAACCTTTCCTTCCTAACTTTGGATGTCCGGTATTTTGTCTCAACAATGAGTAAAAGGTAAGACAAGTACTCCATAGAAATAATATTCTCCAATTTTCATGAAAGCTCTATACAGTAGTATGGTTATTATTGCTACAGTTTGGATGTGAAATGTCCCCAAAGGCCAGTGTGGGTTTTGTTTGTTTGTCTGTGGGGATCAAACTCATGACCTTGCACTTGCCAGGCAGGAGCATATGCCACTGAGCTAAATCCCTGGCCCCAGGCCTGTGTGTTAAAACTTGGTCCCAGCCTTATTCCATGGGGAGGTAGAGGAAACCTGTAGGAGATGGGCCTAACAGGTCTCTGGATCCTTGGGGCATGTTCTTGGAGGGAAAGATGGGACCCCAGCACCTCCTGTTTCTCTTTCTTGCATTTTGGCCATGGGGGAAATGGCTCTGTTCTACCACATGTTCCCAGCCACAATGTGCTGCCTCCCCACAGCCCCCAAAACAAGAGGGCCAACTGACCATGGGCTGAACTCTCCAAAACTGTGAGCCAAAAGAAGACTTTTCTCTAGAAGTTGATTATCTCAGGTATTTGTTACAATAACAGGAGGTTGATGGACACAATCATTCCTATTTAATGAGTAGAGATACTGAGACTCAGAGTTCAGAGACAGCAGTAGTAAAGAAAAGACAGAAATTCAGATTGGCTTTATTCCAACAGTTTATTTTCTCAATCTGTGCAGTATACTGTGCAGTATTCTTTTTCATTTCTTTCTCCAAGATGGTACTTAATATCTGATGAGTATAAAGATTCAAAGACAGGTATGAATTAGATATGAAACTTCAAACTATGGTTTTCAACCAGTCCAGTTTTCAGTCGTTACCAAACTGGTGCTCCTTTTTTTTTCAAGTACCTACAGAATATTTTAAAGTTTTAAAATTGCCTTAGATTTATGTTATATGTCCCAAGTTGTAAGAAAATGAAAAACTTTGAAGCCATAAGGGAATATCCAAGAGATTTAAAATTTGAAGATAACATAGGTTTTTGTCACATACGGAACCCTGAATTAATAAAAACTTAAGTCAAAGTAAAATTACTACTTGGCATATAATTGCATGAGCCCCAGGACATGAAGCATAGCTACTGGTGCAGGTTGGGGCATCTCAGGGGCAGACTAATTTGGAGTTTAGTTAGCAGAAGGATTACTGCATGTTCTTGTGGAGCATACCCATGAAAGGCAGGAGGAAGAAGTAGGATTGCCCAAGGGAACTAAAGATAAGGTGGCCCATACGATGCATCCCACAGTAGGCCAAAATGCTCAGACCCTTGTACTGCTGCCCCCATCAGGCACTAGATATGGCTCATCTTGAGCCAAGTGTGATCTTGGGCATGAGGACTTCCTGTGCTAAGGCTGATACAGAGAGGCTGACAGCTGAAGAGTATTTCATGACAATTCTTCCAGCAGCCAAGATGACAAATCCTTCCTTAGGGGTGAGGGAAGGTGGATTAGAAAAGCTCATCAGTGGCCAGCAAAGACATTTCACAGAAAAAGGAAAATGCCTTGCCTCCTCAGTCGGAGAGAGGGAGAGACCCAAGGAGGAAAAGCAATCTATGGATGATGCGTGTCTGCCTACTTCCTTTGGTCACTAATCATGACCATGATACCCATCATCATTTAGGAAAACAGAATCAGGCCCCAGGGAAACAGAAGTCTGTCCTCCAGCAGGTAGCTTAATCAAATGATCAACTAATACATTCATGTAAACTGTTGGCTTATGGAAAGCACTCAAGGTTTTTGATATTCTAATAGGTCGAATGGTGGCCCCTGAAAAGATGTCCACATTCCCCAAACATGTGAAGATGGTCTACTTGGGAAAAAAAGACTATGGGCTTATGTAATTAAGCTAGGTATCTTGAGATGAGATCAATCTGAACCATCAGATGGGGCCTAAATCAGTGGCAAGTGCTCTTGTAAGAGACAGAAGAGTAGTCTCAGGCATGGGTAGAGCACTTGTAAAGATGGAGGATGGACAGGAGTGATGCAGCCCTAAGCCAAGGAATGCCTGAAGCCACTCAAAGCTGGAAAAGGCAAATGACAGATTTTCCCCTATAGTTCCAGAAGAGTATAGCTCAGCAGAGGCCTTGATTTTGAACTTCTGGCCTCCAAAGTACTGAGAGAACAATTTTGCATTGTGGCAATTTTTTCTAACTAATATAGATGGTGTTATGTATGAAGGAAGAAAGCCAGGCAACTAGCATACATTCTCTCATTTAATTCATGCGACAGAAAGTCAATGTCATTAATCCCATTTCACAGACAGGGAGACAAGCACAAAGGTATCAATCTCCTCAAGGTTACACAGCAAGCAAGCCAGCAAATAGCCAGGACTGGGACCCAGATGTCCAACTCTCATGGTTATGTGCTGTGCTGTCCATAAAGCCATCCTTCCTATAAGGGCTTTCTCTCTTTACAAGGGTCACCAACACCACCCGCAAGTAAAACAACTGCTCTACCTGCTGGGACCCACAGGGGCCACTTTCCTCTCCCAGGGCCTGGCCCATCCTTACTGTCATTGACAGGACTCCGCTTTTGTTCCATCACTTTTATCCTGGAGACTTCCTATCTCTTGCCTCTAAACTTTTGGCTCAAAGAGAG